GGAGCGCACCTAAAGGTTCAATGTGATGGTTCTCTACAGAAAATCATTGGCTCGTACTAATGAACACTTGTATTATCAATAGCCTTGTTAATTAAATAAATAAATGACCGGAGGGGATTATTTTGAGGTATTGTCAGCTTATGCAAATGTTTAAAAACATTAATCAGGCTTTTGTCATGCTTGCAGCATTGTTAAGCATGTGTACAAAGAGCCATATCAGAGTGTGTGCTAATCTGTTAAATTCAAACAGTGGTATAGATATCGGTTTGCGTATTTGAATGAGTCTTGCAGTCTTTTTAGCAGTGTGTGGGCGTATTTCCCTGTGTACATGTGTGCCTGTGGGTGTGAAGATAAACCAAGGAGTGACACAACATAACTGACTGTTGATCTGTGTGGTGTGTGTGAGCGTGCGGCAGTCGAACAAGACTTCAGATTTACTCTGTATCTCCCTCTGTCTGAATCTGAATGGTGGAGGAAAGGCATCCATTAAGCTGTTTAACTCTGCCTGAGTGTGTGTGAGTGTGTGACCATAGTTGAACCCTATTAACTGAATAAATCCTCCAGTATGATTGCAGTGTCAAATTGGCTTGCTGAACCGTTTTTGCTTTGCCCAGCAGTCCTGGTCTTTTTTCTTTCTTTTTCCTAATTCATGACACACTAGCACAAAACCCAAAACTCCCAGTCACAGTAAATTATGAATCAATTGGAAATGTCACATCAATCCGCACACATCTGTATAACTGAATGCACAAAACACAAACAGATGCTGGCCATTGAGCATATGAACCGCCATATGCTGATTTCATTGGATATAATTGAAGTTATTGCAATCATTTTTGGCAAAAACCGGCACCCGCGTAGGTGGGGTGAAGAAGAAAGCCTTCCTTCGAGTGGTTGATTCTCCTGTGTCAGCAAACACTCGGGTGTCGAAGTGTCCTTGAACAAGACATTCTTCACTGCTCCAAGGCCGTTTATTTTTTTAAGTAATTCTAGTGATCAAAAAAGAGAAAAATACCTTATGTGCTTGAACACCAATGTAAGAGTTGGCAATAAAGCATTTGATTCTGTTCAGAACATGTCATCTTTCATGTTAAACAAGGCAGGTGGAGGTCGTATAACATCCTCCTCCCTAGAATTCCGTTGTTCCCACCAACACACTTCTCGGTTCATGCGTAGCTGCCCTTCAGCGAAGCGTCGGGCCAGTGGAAGTTCCCCATTTTGATTTGTATTAATATGAGAGCACTTACAGGCTGAGGGGCACACTGGGGGATTTTGAATAATGATTTCCAACAGATTGTGCCCCTCTTGACAATTGTGCATACCCATAACTGATGATGAATACTCGTTGAAAATAAGATATTTGCTAAAACTGTGTTATATCAAATGAAAATGACGCACCAGCTGACCCTAACATTGTGTGTTTAGTTGTCAGTAACATCTTACTAGGCCATATCTTTGTATAATAATGTATATATGAAGTTATTTCAGATTTGTTATAAGCCATCATATTCATTTGTGGATTGATTGAAAACAGATACACCTTAAATTATGTATCCTTAGACAGGACATAGGGTTTCCAACACGGACCTAGTTCCCAGGTCCAATGTAAGCGTTGTGTTTCTTTATTCTAATCATTTTAAGATATAATAAAACAAGTATATATACCTAATCAAACGTTTACATTTAGTGTCAAAAAATCTGTCAATTTCACCTGCGAGGATGACTGTACAGTTAGTACCGGAGCTGATACAGTAAAAGGTTGCTCTCTCTGTCTCCATGACAATTTAATTAGAATCAGTCACGACTTTCACACAGCGTTCTTTGAGCCAGATGATTAAGCACTAAAGGACACTTTTACACACCTGACTTTGCATCGTGACAACCACAGTTTTCACAAACAGTCTTAATGTCAGCAATAAGTTCCTTGTTAAATGGCAAATAACGTGCCACACTGCAGATAACGGATTAGAAGTCCACATGCGCTTTGTGGATGTCTCTGAAGGACAGCTCTTGTCTCAAACTGATTTCCCTGAAGTTTCTCCCTCTAATAAACTATGATTTAGTTTGTCTCACTGCAAAAATTAGAAGAGAGACAAACAGCCATGTGGTCATTTTGTTCAAACATAATTAAGAGACCTCCCAGTCTGTTGTTTTTTTAAGTTTAATAAGGTAGACAGAGGCGCTGTTTCTTTATAAAGATATTTTTGTTTTTCTTTCAACACCCCTTTGAATATTTCTTGCAGGAACCCCAGTTCAGCCTTGCTCTCAAATCATGCTGTTACATTTGGGCAAGACATCAGGGCAGTTAGTTTTCTGGAGCGATTCCTATTAAGAGCTCAGTCCGGGAAACCTTTCACACCAGACATTACAGCCATACAGCACACACACAAAATACACACACAGCTAACTGCCAAGATACACTTCCTGGTGGTGGTTCAATGCCATCGATAAGCTTGGCACTGAGACTAGGCCAGCATATACCCTGCTGCCCACTGGCTTTCACACACACTCACACACACACTCACACACTAGCCTCCCATCACTTCTGTTTCTCTCAGACAATATTACGAAGCCTGTCTGTCTCGGTGCAGAGTTGTAAAAGCATTTATATAGGGAAGGTATAGGCACAGGCAGAAATACTTACAGTGCATCGGGAACATGTGAATGAAGCAGTAGGGAATATGATTTAGATACAATTTAGCAATGACATATGGGAGTTTGACAATTTCACTAGTTACACTGAACACCCCAAGAGAAAGTTAGGAAAGAGATAAACATGGAAAAAGCATCGCTCCTGTTTACTTGGGTGATTTTTCTCCCCCCTGGATTTCCCCCAGGAAAGCATGCTGTCAAGTAAGAACTACAGCTATAGTATTTACCTCGGGAACGAGCAAGATAGAAGTTGACAATGGTAAGAATCGGGACTGCGTTTAATCACAGGATGATGATTTCTGCAGCTTTGGGGGATAGATCTGTGTGAGTGTTTGTCAGATCGTAAGCTTATGAATTCTAACTCTGTTGGGAAATAAGAACGATGAGGTGGCTGCTATGCCACAGGCGGCACCAAATGGAAATATATGATGATGGTGCATGTGTCGCTGCTGCAGCTTTGATATAATAGAACACAACAGAATACAGGGAGGCAATACAAGCAGATGTAATCATTAGTCATTTTCGGAAAGGATTTTCTTTTGTTATTTGACTCTTGCTTGTTTGATTGGTACAGTGTGGTGGGGAACTGACAGACTGATTTGGACAGAGAGGGTTTGTGTTGGCAGGTAATTTGGTTTTTCCAATGGGAGTTGTTAAATCTGGCCTATATGACAGCAGCTCCGCGGTGCAATGTCATTGAGAGCATTGGGGCATATTGTGACATAATTTGGCAGGTAACATAATGGACACACTGCTATTTCATCCTTACACAATATGGACTTCTTTAAAGACTCACTTAACATCTCCCGGAACTATTGTCTAGGGGACTGACCTCCTGGGTATTAACTTCTGACAAGCTGCAGTGAAGTAAAGTAGAATAGAGGACCCAAATTAAATCAATGCTGTATTCAAACAGAGAGGGCAGTAACACACTATCGTTATCTTCAAGAATGATTATAATTTGTATTCATCAGTTATTTGGTAATCATGAATATGTATTTCACTTCAGGTAATATGTGTTATAATTAGGGCTGTCAAGTTAACGCGTTAATAACGCGTTAATGCAAAAAAAAATTAACGCCACTAATTATTTTAACGCGATTAACGCATGTGTATTTTTTTTCCTCGGCCACCCCGTAGTTTCAGAGCGCATCGAGTTTAAAATACCATCTACAAGCTGATGCTGACAGCCCCGCTCCTGTCGCCCGCTTGTGGCAGACCACACTTCCACGCTCACCGGCAGGCACCGACTGGCTGTTGGGAGGACCGGGAGGGTGTGTGTATGTGTGGCCCGAGCGAGCGAGAGAGAGACCTTACGTGCATTGTTGTTGTTAGCATCTGGTGCTAGCTAGCTGCGCTAACGGATATACGGAGCTGTTTAAATGAAAACAGAGGAGCGACATTTCGCCACAACTGCGCCGGGCACTTGACTTTATGCAGGAAGCCAGACAGTGGGACATTGTACGAAAAGTCAGCACACTCAGCACGGATAGTGCGCGCAACATGATTGCAGCGTCCAGGCAGCTCCCGTTCGAGCATATGCCTTGAGTTGCACATAGCTCCAATGCACGCACGCACACACACACACACACACACACACACACACACACACACACACACACACACACACACACACACACACACACACACACACACACACACACACACACACACACACACACACACACACACACACACACAATTTGTATTGTATTATTGTATGAGAGAGGTTCCAGGTTGAATTGAGGCGAATATTTGTAATGTTCAGAGGTTGTTGTGTTTAATATTCATGAGAATATTTGTCATTGTTCAAATGATAATAAACATTAGCATAAAGCATATTTGTCCACTCATATGTTGATAAGAGTATTAAAAACTTGAAAATTATTCCTCTAAGGTACATTTAGAACAGATCAAAAATATGCGATTAATTTGCGATTAATCGCGATTAACTATGGACAATCATGCGATTAATCGCGATTAAATATTTTAATCGACTGACAGCCCTAGTTATAATCCTTTGTCATATTTGCTCCTAACAATTCATGTTTTAATAAGGTCTTCAATATTTGTTTGTAATTGTGTAAGAAGGTTATTGTTAATTACGGTGCATACACAGTTGATCTACATTACAATGACAAAAGTACTATGCTGTAGATAATGGTACCAATTGTAGGTTAATGAATTAGAATTCTCTATATATACTACCAAATAATAATCCTCCTTGGAAACAATTAGGAATTTGGTTAAAACTTAGATACCTGTGACATGAAGTTTGTTCTGATAGATGTTTATCAGTTTGTTTTAAATTGCCTGACATAAAACATTAGTTTATTTTATCGTTGCAGGATGATTCCGTCCAGCAGCAACGACTTCCTGGTTCGGGACCTCGCCCCCGGACGCAACTACGATCTCTGTGTCCTGTCCGTGTTTGAGGATGTCGTCACATCACTGACTGCAACACGTCCTTTGGGCTGTCTTTCGTTCACCACGGACACAGAGTTCAGCCAGTGCCAAGCATTGCACAGCCACTTCCTGGGTGGCACTATGATCATCATCATTGGAGGGATTATTGTTGCATCTGTGCTGGTTTTTATTATCATCTTAATGATAAGATACAAGGTTTACAGCAACCAAGGGGCAGGCCCCGGAAAAGCAGCCATTGCAGCGACTGCGCCAAGACCTCAGAGCAATGGTCAAGGAGGAGGCGCACAGGTCCAAGTCCTCCCTCACTCTGCCTCAAAAATACCTGACAGTCAGGACGACCAAGCGATGGCGCCCTCCAGGGCCATGTCGCCTAGCAACACTCTTAGAGACACTGTGGCATTGGTCGAGGAGGCGAGCTGTGGACGGGGCATAATGACAAGGACTGACTCTTTGGCCAATGATGAGTTGCTCTCGCCCACCAAGTCCCGCTTCTCCTCCAGGGTCGCCATTGAGATGAAAAGCAGGCCGCCATCTGTCGCCAAAGAGCCCACCTCCCCCAAGGAACCTGCAGGTAGTAGAGAGACATATAGGGAGATAGACATATAGGAGGCAAGCAGCAGAGTTGGGAGCATGCATTTCATAGAGGTTTGAAGATAAATAAGTAAAACATGATAGAGAAAGGACCAGGAATTTCTAAATCAAAGAAAAATACAGTTCAACAGAAAGAACTGGAGGATGATAAATTGAAAATGTGAAAGTGAGCAAGATAATGACGGAGTGGATAAGTAGGAAACCGACGTATGAACGAGAGAATTAATAAGAGATACCATCCTTGTGTAATGGGAAGATACTAGTAGAGACAGAGGGGGAACACTTGTTCTCTCTCTGAGCTGAAGTAGCATCGGAAATCCTATTTAAGTCCATGCTCGATGGTTGTGGAGAAATCAGATGAAGCCGTCTTTCACTCCTTTTTTTTTTTACATGATACAACATTCTTGGATTACTCCCCTACTGTATAGTGAAAGTAGCTTATAACCTCACGCCCGCCAAGCTCATTGCTTTGAGCTTTCTACTCTTGCCAATTACCAAGTGTCATTTCTGATACATGGTAGGTAGATGGTAATACAAACCTGTTAAGAAATGTAAGAAACTACTTAGTTTGTTTCATTTGCCGAGTGAAATTGTCCTGATGCTGTGACTTTTTAGTAAAATGAGACTAAGAGTCAAAATACATTTAAAAAGTGTGATTCTGTAATACAAGTGTGATAATAATAATAATATATTAATTTTATATAGCGCTTTTCTGGACCCAAAGACGCTTTACATTTGGGAGGGGGGGTATACAAACAAAACAAAACAAAAAAACAAACAAAACAAAACAAAAAAACACAACAGAAAAGCAGTCAGGAGGAAGTTGATTAAGAGGGGGGGGGGGCTTTATAGATAAAGAGTTGAAAAGGTGGGTTTTGAGGCGGGACTGGAACAGGGTGAGGGACTCAGAGTGGTCATCCACTGCACCATAAATCACTTTCTTCAGGTTGGCATTCTTTGTTTGTCCTTCATTAGGGTGCAACAAACTATTAGACTCTGAGGAGGCTTGTTTACCATTAGGAAACACACAACCAGAGTTGTTACTACAATTAAAAAAGAAAGGCTATTGAAGGTTGACTGAAGTTCAATGCTATACTGAAATAAATCCTAAACCCTAATTTACCCTGTTCAAAAACATCAATATGTGAGAGTTACACAACTTATATTTATCACATCTGTGTGCCTTCCTTCGTATAACCGAATATTTAAAACAGGGGTTCATTAAAAGCAACATGGATCACTTGTTAGCCAAAATTCTCTTTAAGTGACTATGTGTGAATATTATATTTTATTTTTAATAAAAACTACATAATTTAAGAACAATTTAAAAATAAAATGTAAAATAGTACATCTTGAAACCACTCTAAGCTCTAATACACTACAGTATATATGTTTTTAGACAGCTGCAGTCCTTCACAGTTCAAATGTGTGCCCCAAGGTATTCTCTATATGAATCCAAGCCACGTAAATTAGGTTTCATAAAACTCCTCCAGGGGTAGGAAAGCATAATCTGGCAAATACATAAACAGTAATTTAGATGGAATATAGTATACATAATGCACAAGGTAACTGATGCAACCACAACTATTATTAGTGTGTATACTTTGCAATAATATGCTGAAAGAAGTGGAGATATGAGCACAACCAGTAAAAGCAGTGCATGTGTCGTTAAAAGGCATACCAGTAATGGCAGTAAACGGTACAAGCACTCAGCAAGTGTCATAAGAGTTATTCATACAGTGCATGTACAAAGCTCTTCACTATGATTCAAAATATAAACGTAATATGCACGAAAGACAGGTAAGATCATATCATCATCGATATAAATGGAAGAAGCCCAGATGTCCTTAGAAAAAATTGCCAAGTTTCAAGTTAAAAACCTTTCAAGGAATTAAACCGACCTCAAGGCTGTGCTGGTACCAAAAAGTACTTTCTGAAGATCTGTAGTGATTGTAAATGACCGGCTTCAGTTGAGCGCAGTCACAATCCAATTTGCTGAACTGAAGTTGGCTAATTTCCTGCTTCCAAACTATTAGTACTGGTTGAGCTTTCAGCTGTCTCTTGATCTCTCGCCTCTCTTGTCTGCACATGGACTAACCTCTTCTGCCATCTGGAATAACACGCTTTTAGATTCTGTTGTAGTGGCTGCTGGCGTACTGGCACTACAAAGCTGCCAGAAAGCTGGTGAACAGTTGGTAAGAAATAGAAAGAGATTTCAGACACATTTTGTCTTTGAATAAAATAAGAATTATTTATTTAAATGTGTCAGTACTATTTGAGTGATGCTAAAAACATGATGGCGTAATTACAGTTTTGCACAATTGTAGTATGATTATATACATTGATACATACATTAAAACTACTTAATTCTACATTTTTAAGATACTGATGGAAAATTACTTTGTGTTAATGGCAACAAATGCTATTAAATTATATCAAGTGTATATGTAATCGAGCCCCTGTTCTCTTGTATGACTTGCATACAGTATGCTCACAAAGGTCACCTTAAAAACGAATAGTGCTAATATAATAGAAATCCACAAGGGCATTGGAATGTTCTTTTCGGGAAGATTTTCCGTGTAATAAGCCCACTCTAGTGAACTTCCCCTTTAATACTAATCCACTTTCATTAAAACGAATAAATGGAGACAATATTTCACATGAGTGGCTTAAACAGCTGAGTTGAAATACTTTATCTGCTGCTGATATGTCATTCAATTGGCCTCAGTGAATGGGTTGAAATGAGGTGTCATCGAGCCTCACGTTGATACGGGGGGAGGCGAGAGATCTGTGCAGAGCACAGCAGCTTAGCCAGCAGGTTCAGGGAAAGTGTTCACCTTTGTGAAGTCTGCTGAATCGGGAGTAGGTTGGACATTTAAAACAAATTAAACTGTTCACATCAAAGTATATGGGAGGCTGTGGCGCAGTGGGTTAGTGTGTTGGTGTTCGGATCAGGGGAGCACAGGTTCAAACCCCACTGCAGTCAGCATGTCGTTGTGTCCCTGGGCAAGACACTTCACCCCAAATTGCATGACACTAAGTCGCTTTGGATAAAAGCTTCTAACAAGTAACATGTAATATAATTACTGTTTAAAATAAGATTTCTGTAGATTTTCCGATGGTTTCAAATGCCGTACAAACTCATAGGCTACATTACTGGTTTAAGATATCAGAGTAGAACAAGTTGTTTTTCTCGCCTCCGATATGATATGAGGGCAAGGCTGCTCTGTGAGGTTGACAAATAAATTGGGTTACAAAGCAGATCAGGAGTTCGCATTAGTGCTGTAACAGGCTAGAATGTTCCTTGAAGTTTCCTTTGTTGTGGTGTTGAGGTGCCACCATGTGAACGAACACAAACATTTTCCCTCCAGGCATAATTAACAGCTTTAACCTTATCACAACCTTAACTGACTGTGTGTCACTCAAAGGAGCTCCAACGAGCATCACAGAATCCAATGAGACCGACCAACAAAGCAATTATTATAGTTTTCATTTTTGACACTTCACCCCGGAGAGATACATTACAGCTGGTCTTTCTGCTATTTCTTTGATTTCGGGAGGCGACCTACAATGGGGGATAATACCCATGTGTTTGTACAAAGGTTGTCGGGGTTTCTCAGGGTGTAGCTGTGTCTGTGATGTGTTTCTCTGGTTGCTGCATTGCAGAGAAAGGCAACATTGATCTGATCAGAGAGAGAGCCGCAGTGAGTCAGAGCGCCTGAGGAACACAGCAACTGACAGATACACAGAGAGGCCCCATTAAAGGCCTACAGTTGTCAAATATGTAACACAACATGAACAAATAGACACATTGTGGGTGATAGTTTGTTTGTTTTCAGAGACTTTTTGTTCACAGTATAAGATGTAGGAACTGGATACATACATTTGTTAAATATTGTATTTGTTCCGAGTGCAGTTTTTGCAGAGAAAACAGGTTGCATGATAGAAAATGAGTCTGCCTCAAATATGTTTATGAACATTGTCAAGTCATGTTCATAAAGAGACAGTTAGTGATTTCCATACTGATTTAAAGGTAATATCAAGATGACATATTCAGAAGTCTAAGTTAGACAAATGCATTGAGTATCCTTATGAGTCTTGTTTGTGATTTTGAGTGTTGCATTCTGGACCTATCCATTAGGTAAGGAAAATAAATAAATGAACCGAATACAGATACAAAAAAAGTGATGGTATTAGTTTCCCCCTCTGAGCTTGAGATCTAGCTTGTGTTGCTGCATGTGGATTCAGCATCAGAAGTAGCTCCTTAACCTGAATACTAAGTGGGGAATTATCAGTAATTATATGCTTAACACACACATATTATGATTATGTCAAGCAAAGTGCTATTAGCTCAAGAACAGGCAACCAAATATTGAATGTGTGTGTTATGTAGAGACAAAAATCCACAGTGTAAACTATTAATTCAAAGTTCTTTTAGGTTCGTTTTAGGCAAGCCTTTAGGTATTGAATGTTAATCAATACAATATCCTCACAGTGAAGAAAACAAGTGTTAGTGTGCTTGTAAGCTCGGCTACCAAATCCCTGCAGGTCGGTGCATGTATTTGTGTGTTGTGCCGTACAAGGTTTAACCGCCTTGAGCCAATGCAAATGCTCCCACAGGGTTAAGCCAGATGGAAAAGTTGCCCAGTAAACACAAGGATGTGTGTGAGTCCGTGTGAAGTGCAAGTGTGTGTTCTCCCCATGGCCCATCCATGACCCTGTAGCCTGTCTGTCCTCCATGTATTTTAATCTATCATCACTTCCTTCAGTCATCCCGTATGCCCGGCCTCATTCTTCACTGCCGTCTGTCCTTCGGAATCTCTTTCGCTCGAAGAGAAGGAATAGAGAGAGACTCTTCTATAGAGAGAGATCTCTTCTCTATATCTCTCTGCAACCTTCCCTATCACGCTAGCCACCCCTATACATAGCCAACTCTCCTCTAACTCTCCCTCTCCCTCTCCCTCTCCCTCTCCCTCTTCCTCTCCTCTCTCTCTGTCACCTTCTCTCTTCTCTATTCCTCACCAGCTTTCTATCCTGATATCTTTGCTTCCTTTCCACCCCTTATTGTTCTGTGCAGTTTTCTTTCTGCATCCGTGTCAGTGTTTTTTCTGATTCGAGGAGTTTCACTCCATGTCTGTCTCTCACTATTTTGCATCTTTTGGCCCTATTTCCCCCCTCTCTTTCTGTCTCTCTATCTTCTGGATGCCTCCAGCAGCAGACGACAGGCGGCCTCATAGTGTCGTATGGAGAGACTTTAAGATCTGAAGGTCTCTCGGTCTCACAAAGAGAGTGCACCAACACTACAAAAAAAGAGTAATAACTACCACAAAAAAATGCCCTATAGTTTTCCTACAGTTTCTCCCCGTCTCTCACCCTGTGTCACTACTCCTCACCTGTCTGTCCCTATCTCAGTCTCACTCCTGTGTAACATGCTGCCATCTGACACTTCCTTTGGGGGACTCTTGTTTTCTGGTCTGGTCAGTTCACACAAATAACAAAAAACACATTTTGTGACTTTCCTCGAGTCTAGTGAATTTGTGTGCTGATGTTTTGAGATATCCATCTTTGAGAGTACAGCCTATACATCCAAGAGGGAATTTCATCTGTGTTCCTTACAACAGAAACCAATGAAATGTATTTTAAGGATTACTACAACAATTATTCATTACATTGGGATATTGAGAGATTCTACTATATTTATATATATATTAGTAGAAATGCACATACACACAATTTGAAATGTGACCATATCATTTTTTATGGTTATTATCTAAACTATCTGCAACAAAAAATATAATTTTCAGCTTGAATTTAAGGCGGTGGGTACAGAAATATCAAGGACTAGCATCTCAGAATTAGGCATATTAAACCCACGTGATGGCCAGATGACACTAGGAGAAAGAAAACATTTTTGTTTTGTAAATTTGGATGAACCGATAGTTTTGTTCGTTTTTCTTTAAATTATCCCTCTTTCTTAACTGTCTATCTTTTTTTTCACTTCCCTGTTAACCTTTTTTCAATTTCTATTGATCGTGTCTTAGGTTCAGGTTCTTTATTTAATTTGTCCTACGTTTATTTTATCCTCCTTCCCTTTACCATTCCTCCTTTGTTTTTTTTCTTGTTAATGATACCTCCCTTTGTGTTTCTTCTCATCCAACCTTACAATTGTTTTTTTCCCCTTCTTTTCTCTTTGATTCTCTTAATTGTATCCTTTTTCAATACTCAATATCTCTTCCCTTACCTCCATTTGCCTCATTTCTGCTGGCACAGCCCTTTCTCTATAATGCTGTTTGCACCAGCTGGTTTAATCCCGTCCTTGACCTTGTCTGTTTTCAATTCAAAACACTGTTGTCTTTGTAGTTATATGTTATTCCTTGTGTCCCTTTCTATCCATCTCACCACTCCCACTGCATTATCGTCTTTGCGTACTGCCTCCTCCTCTCTGTCTCACCCCATCTCCTTCATCAATATGCGTGTTGCAAAGGGTGATGGAGAGAAGACGGGAGAGCAATGGAGGATGATGGAAGAGAAGACAGTGGTGATGTGCTGTGGTTGAGATGGATGAAAACAGACTGAGGCATTAAAAATACTCTGCCAACAGAATCAGCCCTGGCTGTACATAAATGCAGTTAGGAAATATTCCTCCTGACAAATACAGTTAAGAAATGCTCTCTTGACAAACATACATATAATAAATAACAGCTGCAGCAATTACAGCTTCATCCATCTCCAAGCTATCGCACCTCTTTGCTTTCCCCTGTCAGCAGACTTTGTTTGTGCAGGCATTTGTATCTCCTGACTGCACAGCACTTACTCTCTGACACTGCTTTCACAAAAGATAACTAACAGATCCTAAGAAGAGAGAACGTTTTTCGATTGAATGTTTCAAGGAACACAAGAAAACGTTTTGCTATATAAGAATATTGATATGTCAAACATGTGATTTATACATTACAAAAAAATATACTCAAATGTTAGGAGTGTCCGTTTTCCCCTAAGTCTGATGTTACCATTAAGTCTGAGAAAACACATGACGTTAACCTTTGTATTCCTCCGGTGTCATATTCTTATAATTTCTTCCGTTCCACTCAGGAGGTAATAAACTCACAAAAAATACAAGTCTTCTCTGTGAATATTAGCTTTTCTGAAAGTTCTAAGTTCTTGCAATAGTTATAAAAACCAATGAAACAATCTCCTCAGAGAATGTTATAAATCGGGCCTTTGGGTAAGATCAAGTCCGGTTCAACCAGGGACACCGAACAGCAGAAGTGAAAGCCACTTCAAGTTAAATTGGGCTTCCACACCACATGTTGAAGGCAGTCAACGTCTTAATGGTCATTGTTAATCACTATTCTAATTGGTGTATTACAGATCTCACAGGTGCTTCATTGTGTCTACTAGACCCTGTGCTGTTTTCAGTAAAATATTCCAAGTACCTTGTTTTTCTATCCTTTTATCAAGACCTGATGTCCTACTCCACATCCCTGCTGTTTTAATTGTCCCTTTTAACCTCTTTGTTCTAAATCCTACCCTTTAGAACAGTACAGTGAAATCCTTCCATTATTGTCCTTTTCCTTATAGCTTAAGATTGTTTTCAAACCGTTATGTTCTTTCTCTCCTGTTTTCTAGAACCCTGATGATGTTGTTCTGAGTGGCAGAATTGGAGAGAAGCTGGTGAAAACACAAGAAAAAAAAAGGCCCTATAGCCCCCCTCCCGTATCACCTGTTTACTGTGCCCTTTGTTTCCATAAGTACCATGGGGTCAGACCTGTACTGTCTGGTTTACTTTTTGCTGATTTTGGTTCTCATGTCTGGATTGGACGATCGTATCAAGGCCCGCTGTCTGTTTGCCTGCTGATTGGCCTCTTGCTACCGGATCCGGCTGACAGTGTGATCATCATTAATCCGTTTTTAATGTAACGGCACGCACTGAATGCTGAATTTTCCACTTGAATCATTTGTATCAGTGTGAAAGTGGATACAATGGGCGTAGATAATTTAAAAAGAAAACGAAAAAAAAAGACTTGACATGATTATGGACGGAAACTATGAATTAACTTCTCCCCATCTGGAGCAGCATCAACAGACACCCAACAGATGGTAAAAACAGACTGAGAATATATGGCTAAACAGTCAAAGTTGGATGCATAGATAATCGCACACAACCTGGATATACAATATGTTAGACTGCACAAACAGAACGCAATTAATATCACACAAATGGATAAATGGATCCTGTTTTGGATATGGACATTAAAACAATATCAGCGCACTCTTTCTGCACATAAGGAACTCTCAACATGGCTGGCTGTAGATGGCTCAACTTTTGTATTCCATGTGAAATAATGGAATAATGAAAACTGAACTGTGCTGGGCTGATCCGAACTACACTGAACTGGAGCTGGATTTGAACCTTGACTAAATCCTGTTATCAATCAGAAGTCTGTTTCTGGAAATCAGTATATAACAAAAACCTGAACTGAAGTGGACCCAGATCTAGAAATGTACACTGGTTAAGGATTTGGACTGTGCATTGATCTGCAGCAGAAAAAAACTTGACTAGACTGGCCTGTTATCTATTAGTCTAGTCTGTGTATTCTACTGCTCTGTTCTAATATCTGCCACTATCCACTGGAAGTGACAGATGAGGACCTTGACCAGCCTTTCTAACGTCTCTCCAGGCCCATTTACACAGGTGAGTAATCTGCTGATTAACCTCTTAACCTAACAGAACAAGGAGCCAAATGTAGAGTTATCTCACCCAATGACCTAGTCTCATTTATCAGTGAAACATATGGTGACCCACTGGCAGTCATCTTGAACGTCCACCATTTTGTGGCCCTGCCCTATCGTTTAAGGCTTACTTAGACTTTGCAGTGTCTCCTCCTGCCGCAAGTACTGTGTTACCTAATGAGGGCAACACTTTAACGAGTGTCTTCTAATTGCTGTGATCCAGACAATTAGAGAAAGCCTCCCTGGCTAAACGATCTGGTTCGTTACTAGTCTCCACTGGCGATATCACAACATGCGACAGTAAATGCACCCCCCCCCCCTCCTGTTTGTGTATTGCTCCTTTAATGTCAGGGTTGCTCCCTATCTCATGCTCCTCTCTTCCCCTCTCATCAGATGTCTTTTGTTTTGTTTTTTCCCTCCCACCAGCCTGAGGCAGTGATCGAATACTGGTGGAGAATATAATACACGGGGAGGATATGGTTATGAGCCAACACCTCAGCCTCAGGGAGGGATTTAGCCTCTACAAAGGGGGGTCAGCAATATCTCTTTAGTCACGGACAGAGGCTGAGTGATGTGTGATGCTCCTGAATTGAACTCATATATTCCCCAGAATGGAGAGATGTTCATTGTCAAAATGGAGGAACACATTTATTAGAGGGAATCAATAGCATAATCGGTGAAATTACATTACACACATTTAGCTCACAACTGATGGGGAATGCCAAGTAATAACCCTATTTAACCTCAAGAAAAAATATTATTCCAATATACCTGCTTTTCTGAGTAAACAAAAAACACACCAGTAATTGTATTGCGCCCATAACACTTTTATATCAGCCATTATCATGAAATGTTACAAATGCACAGCAGCAACAGTGCTTTCTACTCTACACTGAAACTGAAACATTGGTCAGGCAATTTGCTAAACAAAGCTCTATGGTCCTACAAACTGAATTGTATCCATTAGACTTATCTGAAGTAATGGAACCACATTAGTTATATATGTAATAATCTTTTCACGCTACGCACACTGTAAAGTAATTACCATTGAATACAATTAGAATGATTTACTTACATTGGGTACAGATATGTTTGCTCTGCAGGCTGCAGTTCTGTCCTTCCGATTCAATGTTGGTGCAATGAAGATGAATAACTAACTACATGCAGTTGTTTCTTTTATTCCCATTATTACTTTATTTTTAAATTCCAAGTAACTTCACTTAAAGCTAATTTATTCTGCCTGGCCCCCATTCATACAAACCCACATAAACAAAATGCAAGAGAAAATACCCAGAGGAAGAGCAAAAGACTAACGTACAACATCTTGAGATGAGGCACTAACTTGTTGATTTATCTTCTTTGTTTGTTTGACATTTTCTTTATGATATCAGCCATCAGTAGGCTCATGCACAATTCCCTATTATGCTAATATAAAGTATGTTTTGTTCAAATGGCAGGCAGAATACTAGGAATACACATCACTTTGATCTGTTCTTGTCTTTTAAACAACCAGCCAACCAGGGATGCTATTTTCTTCTGTAAGTAATGGTTAATATATTTAGCAGGGACTAATTCAACATTTTGTCAGTTTTTATTCACAGATATGAGTACCAGAGTGACTATCAAGGGTACTCACTTATGATAGTTATCTTTTCACGTTCAACTATAACTGTGTGTTAGTGTGTGTGTGAGAGAGTCTGTGAGTGTGTGAGAGTGTCCTCTTGGGACAACATCAACAGTATGATTATAATTGCAGATGTCAGATACCAGAAGCTACAAACAAACATTTCATGTCTGGTAATTTATTAAACCATCATGACCATTCCTTACACGTGCAAAAACAAACCGACACACACATCTGCAGCAAAACACACACAAAAGAGAGACAACATTAGACAAAACACACAAACTAAAAGCATGGTATAAAAATAGAGATAGCACTGTAAAGTGCACCTTATAAAGTGCCTTCAGTTGTTTTCCAAGGTTACTGTAGGAGAGTACCGGTCTGTCTTTATATTTAGATTCTCTTGCGGCAGTAGTTGTTGTCATACACATCAAAAGTTTGGACAGATCGTATACTGCATACTTAATCTTTTTCCGGAGTGACAATGTTATTGCTGTTGGGTAGGTAATTTGATGGAGTAAATTGATTTTTGCTTTAAACTATTTACAGTATCTAACTCATCATCACAAAGTAATGATATATTGTGTTGCACCGGAGGGAGAGTTGGCAATGGGAGAACAAGTACAAAGGATCAATATGGCTGTCATACCAAGGATACATGTTTTAATTTCCTTCCAACTTTTATAGAACGTTTTAGATGTTTAGTCAATCTGGCACAGTTAAACACTGTCCCTGGGACATGTGCTTCTGTTGTACTAAAAACAATGGTTATTCGAATGTCATTACTGAGCACGTGTTAGCAGATTTTTTAATAGACTGCAGCCCTCCTTTGTTCCTCGTGTGACAGATCTATCTCGAGGCTAAATTTCAACATCAACAAGATCTGTGGTGCTGCCTTAAAAGAGCATGTCACTGCGACACAGCATTGCTTCTAACATGTTTTGACTCATGAGAAAAATACGTCAAGTTTACAGCAAGGTCTCTTTGCAACAGAAACAAGTGGAGGGTAAATCAAGGATGTATCTCCCTTACTTTTTCTTAAAAGGGAATGAGGTTGACCAGATAATCCAGAGACACCTAGATGACCGAGGTCCCAGAGGCACATTAAAAGCTTAAGGCTGAAATATGTCCATCTCATATGGTTACATATCTGTTAGGAGGCCATATGTGCACTAATTAGACTTTCACAAAGGTCTCAATTAGTGTGATTATGTTGTAGTCTGTAGGGGGGGAAATAGGTGCAGGACAATTAGCAGTCTACAGGAAGTCAATGATAAACTGACAGTTTCCCTACTGTTCAGTCTATATGCTAAGCTCCAGTGATCTGCTATGTTTCTCTACATTTAAGAGAGTACAATAGAGGGAGGGAGAATAACAATATTCCTTAAAACGTCCCTGTTCACCACATGTGCGTTACATTTGCTCTGCCACAGGACAGAACAGATATGTTGATGTCTTTCAACCTGTCAAATAAGCGAATTAGCTGATGATTTAAACCAAATACGTGTGTTTCGTTGCATCACGTCTCATCAGTTAAAGCATCGCATATAGACCACAGCATGGTGCACTTGATGTGGCAGCTTCCATCGGTAGGCCGTTTTGCAGCAGCACTAACAAGTCCCTCCTAGCAACCATTCGGTTTATTCCATTTGCAGAGGCTTTATCTGCACTGCTAGAAACACACAGACTGGAGTTGTTATTACAGACTTGGTGTAGAGGGGATGCAATGTGCTCCCTTTATGTGGGCTTTCGGGCCCTGCAATGACTTCAATTTAAGAAGCATGTCACATCTGGTGGCCGATGTGGTGCTGATATAGACGTGGCCATGCATACATTTTTATAAAACTGCCTGACATCTCTCTCATACACACACACACACACACACACACACACACACACACACACACACACACCTTAAAATGACCCTGGGCTCACAACATCACTGCTCGATTCTGCCCTCTTTAAATAGGACTTTCCAGCTGCGTGAGTGAAAAGCATTCACAAAAGGAAAAGGGGGGAACGTGTGTGTGTGTGTGTGTGTGTGTGTGTGTGTGTGTGTGTGTGTGTGTGTGTGTGTGTGTGTGTGTGTGTGTGTGTGTGTGTGTGTGTGTGTGTGTGTGTGTGTGTGTATTTCTGCACTCCAATGTTGTCTTATCTGTGGTGATGTAAGAAGAGTGTCCTACAAGGGCATGGCAAGGTGAACATTGCCTTGCAGGATAGAGAGAAAGCGGAATTTAAAAAAAATGGAGGGGAGAAAGAGAAGGAAGTGCAGAAAGGGGGCAGGAAGCGGGCAGAACAGGAGAAAACAGAGATGGAAAGATCGATGGATGGGTTGGTTTCGGATGAATTGAGAGCGAGGACAAGGGACGAAATGACAGAATATAAATTTTAGGCAGCTTATACAAGGGAGAGAACGGGTAGGATCATTTGAAACTATGCGTACACATGCTCGTTCAGTGTATATTGACAAGGTCTTCTGGTATCTACAGATGCTCCAGCAGTGATATTATCATGCAAGTGTTGCTTCTTGAATTCCACTGTCAGGGGAAGAGTGAAATAGGGTAGAGAGGCTGCACAAGATAAGCAGCTTTATGAATAAGAGGAGATAAAGGAGAATTGGAAAAGACAAGGACTGTTAAAAAAAGAGGAGGAGAATGACGGAAGGAGCTGTGAAGACGACTGGCAAGAGTTAAGAAGGAGACGTAAGAAAAGAAGCGCAAAGGGAGAAGAGCGAGTGGGATGTGTGGAGGATTACTCAAGTGTGCATTGAGCTCTGGCTGTATTGTGTAGTGAGGTTTCTTTGGTCCCTCGAAAAGAAAACATGGTAGTATGAATAATAGATCACACATTAACACAATGCATGTTTATTTTTGTGCTGTATTGTGTGACTCCTTTCCCCCAACTAAATGGCTATAAAAAAGATCTGCAGTGGGGCAGATGATGCTCTCAGCTGAGCAAATACGTCCCCATGCGGACGCAAACTGAGTCAAAAGACATGCGGAAAGATAATTTAGTGAGAACAATATAAACTGAGCACGTGTTAATACCTCATGATGAGTCATTGTGTCCCTGAGTTATTTGGTGGATGGATTCATGTGTCAGTCACACTGTAAAGTTGACACTTCTGCCAGTTGCCCACCCAGGAACAGCATGTAGAAAGCTGTGACTACTAAACTGCCATGAAGTAGCCGGAAAAAAAGAAAGATTTCTGGGCCGTGTTCGGCTCTTAAATGTGAGGACCGCTGGGATTTGTTCCTCAAAAGATCCAGCACTCAGTGTTCCAGCGAAGATCAGCAGCGCATCATATTAAGCCGTTTGAAAGCACTGCTGTCAATTTGAGTACTCACTAAAAAGTCTAAAGCCCACCACCATTATCCCATCAAATAGATTTCAGAAGGTGAATTTTAAAGCAAAAAATATCAACAGTGATTTTTTTCGCATTACTCCCTCCCTAAAGAATGCACTTACTCTGATCTCAATATATTTGCACCTTTTTCTAAAAAAGGAAAACAACATTTTAAAGATAAAACAGTGCTGAATCTGTTGGATGCTTTTCTTTGGCTGAAAGCATGTTTTAGTTGTTTTTCTTCCATTACAGCACATCAGTCAGACACATGCATACTGCGGCACTGAAAGTGATTTAAACTTCTCGGTCGGGATAGCAGAATAATCTTTAATTGGCACTGTGAGCCTGTTATGCCAATGAGGGAGCAGTGATTATATTTATAGCCATTTTACAAATTAAACACGAAAGCAACCGCAACTGTCTGACATTTACTGATACAAGGACAAAGTCAGTTGTGTTGCAATTCAGTGTGTGTGTGTGTATGTGAAATGAACGTCCATTTATATTTATATTCAAACCTCCCTTCCTCTCCATCTCTCAGCTTCATCCAGTACACCAGCTTTACCTGCATGTCATCAGTTGCACACAACTGAAACTGTTTGATGCATGGCGCACCTTCAGGATAAATAGGAAAACAAACAACAACATATGGTTGCACGATTCAATGGGCTACAAAATGATAGTGAAAGAGAAAACACTTTCAGTCAATTACATGCAAAGGTTGGCAGCTGTGTTTTTTATTAGCTGACAGTAAAGTCTAATTCAGGGATGAACATTTTCACTTTACTGTCAGCAGGAGTCCAATTATGTTTAGAAAGTTGAGAATATATGTGACTAAATAATTTCCCACCTTGGGATCGATATAGTATCTATCTCCATCCATCTATCTAATATTTACACCAACTTCAAAATATAGTATTGCATTGTAATTCAATATGACATTAATTAACTGTTTAGTTTTCATTTCAAGCATACAGTGTAGCCCTTCTTTTTTTTTAGGTGAAAATGTATGCTGTGTTTTTTAGTCCCAATGTGCTTTCCATGTCTAACTTTGCCTTACAAGTGAAAAATGATGTACAGTGATAATGAAATACCCGTTAAATCAACCACACAGCAAGCACTCACACGTCTATTGACTACAGGGCCTTTGCGTTAGCACCCTTCCATTTATCTTTCCCGGCAGAAAGCCATTTTCTTCTGCAGGCAGGAGAGACAATGGGACCGTTGTTTGATTAAAATCTTGTGCAGGTTGAAGGTTTTAGCTTTAGATTGGCTTTTTGGTTGTTATATCGGCAGCTTTTCACCAAAACGCTGATGCAGCCTTTTGAATTGGGCGGTTACAATGAAATGGTGGTGAGATTCAAGACGGTTGAATTTCTAGATTGGAATCTACTGTATGAGGTGTTAGAAATACATGTAGAAAAAGCCCTTTGTAGTGGTCTGTTGGTTAATGGCAGATTAAAAGCTTGAGAAATGAATTGTAGGTGATGTTTAGTATTGAGGGACAAGCTTTTGTTTTAACCCTTGTGTGGTTTTCATATTTTTGTTATTCAGCAAGTGTTCGTGGGTCTGATGGACCCGCTGCCTTTTGGGGGTTTCAATTCAACACAATCAAATTATTTTATGTTAAAATACTCAACGGATGTTTACTTCATCCCATTACAAGCAATATAAACAGTATAGATGGTTAATATTTGCCCTTTTACATTTGTTAGATCACATTAAAATGTCATGCTGAACGAAGCTCTGGATTTGAGTATTACTTGTTAAATGGCTTTAAGGATAAATGTTTCTAGTATTTTTTTAATAATGTAAATAAATATGCAGCAGATTCTCCCATACAGTAAAGTGCTGAATATTGTTTTATTTTTGTTATGTACCCTGGAGAATTCAGTCGCAGACAAGTACCAATAAAGTAGGATCAGATAGAATTAGATGCATAAGTAGTTTGATTAAGATAATTGTCAGGTGACGTATTCCATGTATTTGTCATGTTAACCTATATGTTTCTGCTAAGCACTCAGTGAGCAATTTGATAGCCCCAGGTTACCCCCCACCCTAGAGGAGTAACAATGTGACAGCTAATCATTTTAGCATGCTTACATTACTCTACTAATGAGGTCAGCATTGGGAGATTTGTTGGAGTTTAACATGAAGGTTGGTGGTTTGGGCAATTTCCCTCCATCACACTATGAATCCATAGTCACTTAGCAGGATTTATTCATCAGGGAAATTGATTTTGTTCTAATGGTATTACTTGATGTATGTATTTTCTGACATGGATGCTTGTTTCTATAATAATTTTTATTGTACAGTTTTAACTGATTTGGTTGTTAATTAAAAAGCAGATACATGAAATTGCCTAAAGTTGAACAGAATTTCGAGAATATCTTGTTGTTTTTGTCAAATGATAACACTGGATTTTCACCCATGTTAGTTCCAGTGTCTACATGTTGACAAATGCTATTAGTCTGCCTTAACATTGAATGTCCATTTCTGTGTTATCCTTTTTCAAATAGTACATCAAAGCTAAATGTGATTAAATTACGTGGGCTGTAGATGTTTTCTATCAGAGCAGCCAAGCTGCTGCCATGGCCATCCCTAGAGTTAAAGTGGATGAAGTGCTCTTCATGAAGTGTAATCAGCTGCTGATTTGGCCGGGTCTGATCCAGAGATGCTACTGACAGAGAAAGACTCTGTGGACATGTTTAGAAAAATTTTTTTTTTTAAAAAACACACACACACCAAATAAACTAGCAGCATTGACCATGACATGTATAGCAGAAATGTTATCCAGAAATTAATTTTAGCATTTAAAGATCATATTATATGTATACACATCATAGTTCATTTATTTTCGCGTTTCAGGTTTTAAATCCATTTTGGGTTTGAACCTCAAACAAGCCATGACTTGCCCATTTTTTGATGGTGACATTTTTTGTTCAACTAAGAAAAACAAGTGCTTGAAATGTTTTGACTTTGTCTACAGTAAAATGCAAGCGATTTATTTTCATTTTTATATTAATGCGTCTTTCCTCATTCTTTCTTTCAGACCCAGTGATCAGGAGGAAAGCCACATGTCTGAAGTCAAAACAGAAACGGATGAACAGATAAGAGATCAAAATAATAAAGTAGCGGGGGAATCAGTCAGACAAATTGTGTGAATTTCTGATTTCATCATCATTAAACTTCATCGTCAATAAATACGTTTACAGATCCAGAGTAGGTTTCATTTGGTTTAGCTGGTCCGGTCTACAAGCTTAAACCAGTTTGATTTGATGCCAACTGGACGAGCCTGCATTTGCATTATGACATGTTCTGGCAAATTCATAAATAAGCCACGGCGCTTCATCAGCGCCACAGTGTAAATCCAATTTGCATTAGTAATAAGCAATATGAAAGTGTGATTAAAATAATATTGTGTATGTTTGACAAAGAGTCAAATTAACTGCATAGCTGAGAAAGTCTGCAACAAGAAGGAGATCAAATTGTAGTTTCATTAGGGGTTGGAGGAGTAATTAGGAGCCGCTGAGTAAAGTGGAACGCCCATTAGAAATAACAATCAATCTGTTCAGTGATTGGCTTAATATCAAACCGGTTTGAATTTGTTTTATACCGGGCTATGCCTAGTCTAGAGATCTAAATTGAAAATCGAATCAGCCTACTTTATCAAGAAGAAAAATGCTGTATGACTGTATATGAACTGCATTGTTAACATCATGGTAGGCTAGTAGTCATCCAGGGCTTCTGCACATCTTCATAATCACAATCCTCTTCATCACCATGGAGCGCGGCTACGTGCACAGCATGACGCATAACACATCTCACTTCATGTTATTTTGGAAAGAGTGACATCTTTGTATGTGTCTGACGAATCCTTTCATGATAATCATCAGAACAAAACATGTGCTCTATAATAGCATCTCTGTCATGATTGCCATGCTTTGGCTCTGACATCACGCTGGTTATTGTTAATGGGGTCTGTGGTACACAGATGCCATCTCAGATATGTGTTTTTCCAGATGTGTGTGCACAGGTTGTTATTATTCTCATCATGATTGTTACAGTTCCTTGCAGAGATGTAAGTTGGTAGAAGAGCCAATAGACAGAGAACCTCGAAAACCGTTTGACCCATCTCAGAAGACACATCCCAAAAAAAGCAGATTAAAAAATAAAACGTCTTCACTTTTCTCCCTTCTGTGCTCTCCTCACTTTTTCTTTGGGCTTTACCTTTTGTATGTGTACATAAAGCAATTTCAAATCTTATAGTTTTGTACATGTAATTTTTATGGTGTGTGGAATTTTTTAATAAAATAAAACAAAAATGGACCACTTTTCTCCTAGACTGGCTGAATTGTTTCCATTTTCCTATGTGTCTAACACTCGATATCAATGTTTAGTCGTGCTGTTTAAAAAAGGTATAATTTTCAAGACGTAAACAATGTTCACAAGGTTCAGTGCAAGTGATGATAAACATTGGACACAGTAATCAAAAAAGCAATTGAGTATTTGTTTGTTTCCCCACCTCAAATACTTAAATGGGTGAACATTTCAACTTGGTTGATGTTATGAAGGTATGTGATTTGGGTGGAGGTAAATGCATACTAGTCATTTTAGTTTAGTCAACTAAATGTTTAGTTGGTTTAACTGACGTTTTTCCACAGAAACAACCATGCAGTATGCAAAAGTGCATTTCAGACTTTCACTATGTGCTGTGTTAAGTTAATTATGAGATCTCATTACTGCCATATGTAAAATGCTAGTTAAAGCTGCAATAATCTGAATTTACTATATTAACAATGGATCAAACATGGTGGAGCATTAAGCAGCTACTGTAAGAGCCAGATATTTCCCTCTGGAGACCAGAGGAGAGATGAAAAGAGAGGGAATATTGGACTTACATTTATCATCATGTGGACAGATTCAAAGCTCGAAATAAATGTTGATGATGTTTATTTCAGTACAGTACATGCAGATTCAATACATAAATATGTGTCCCTGGTGTGTCAGGGAACTCACGCAGCGTAAGAAAATAAAACCCTCTCTCTTTTCCTCCGTACCCAAATCTCTAAAAACGGGGCTACAATGGAGCTGATCCAGATGTGCATCCGATATGACATAATATCGGAAATGTAGGCTGCTTTACACCCACGGCCCTATCAGAAACGTTGCTTTCAGAAACAATGCCCAACTGTTTTGGATGTAACATGGTCGGTGCATGTTTACATTAGCATCGCTAACAGTCAGAGCTAACCTGTACTGGAGAGAGCATGTGTGTGAAGAAGCAGGAAATAAAAAGGAACTCACCTTGTGGTATAACCGGCAAGAGAGAAAGCCTTTGAGCTACATACTGTTTCAGAAATAATCCTTGATAACCCATGATATGGCGTTTCATCACCGCAGAATCTGCCGGTAGAATCTCCCGCATGAGCTCAGCCCCCTCCTTTTTTTCTTTTGTATCATTTTTTTTTTTTTTAAAGCTTTACACCCCAAATTAGCACTTTTGAAACAGGAAGTGGGTATTTTGAGCAAAACACTTCATAGACATGTTTTTGATATATTTTTGATATATCTGAGACCTATGCTATTGCCTAAAAATAGCATGACAGGTGACCTTTAAGCAATGTAAAAAGGACAAAAAAGACAAAAGAGTGATGAGATGAAATAGAGTTTCTTGGATAAGGATCATCGTGCTGGTGGCTTCAGATCATAGACCAAAAGGACTCGGATGATCAGAGTCATTAACTGGTTCTTACTGATGACAGATGTTTCTGCTCTCCTTTGCTGGAAAATTAAAATGAAACAATTCTGCACATGACTGGATGCATACATTGATAAATGGGCCTTTGATTGTGACTGTCGAACTGGAAAATCAGTACATCTGTCCTGTGAATACTGCCAGAGTTGTCCTCAGATATTCACTAACACAGGGTTGCCAACTCTCACGCATCTGGCGTGTGACACACGCTTTCACTCTCAATCTCACGCACTCACGCTGCCCAAACTATTCTCACGCCAAAAACAAGAATACCGAAGACTAGAAACGGTTTTGAAAACGTTTGTCACGTAGTGATCGTCTTCTCAATAGAACATCTTTGATAATGTCTTCTGGCCAATCAGAATCAAGATAACGGCGTGGTGTTGTTGCAGGAAGTCCCGACGGAGAATACTTTTGCTGTAGTACATCTCTATATACATCGATACAATATTACGTGTTGATAGAAATCAACGTAACGAAATAAGACCCCACGGTTTGATGATAGATAGGTGTGTGGGCTGTCTTTCATTTTGACACACAGAACAATGGGGGCTATCCACCCTTATCCACCATGTAAAGTAATTCACACAGCCTCTTCCCTCTTCAGTGAGGAGCAGCAGGTTCAGCTTTCAGAACAAAGTAACAAAAAACTAAAATGGCATTAATTTTTTTTCAATATGTCGTGTAGTAATAGATTTATTTATTTTTCTTCTCAATAGAGTACCAGAATGTGTATTTTATGTTAGTATTTCAAAAAATCTCCTGGGGAGAATCCCCCCAAACCCCCCTGCAGGGGTTGGGTTTTCAGCATGTCAACCCTTTCACTTGTGGGGAAATTGCAGGATTGGCTCCAGGTTGCCCTTTTTATTTACTACAAGACAAATGTGCCTTTTTATTTCATACAGTTCAATTTGGATTGAGACAGGGAAATAATCTAAACCTCACGCGTGGCGTTTCACTGTCAAGGGGAGCGTGTAATTACATTGCAAATACTGACTTGAGCAACACCACTGTATGGGTTAGCCCTACCATAGATTACCCTTATGATTAATTGGAAATGGGGGACCCTGATGTAAACAAGACGAAAGTCTTTCTCTGGTCTGCATCCCCTTAACAATTGTATGTTTTGAGCTGTACTGTACTGTACCCAATATACAAGCTGTTAATAAACTTTTCAATCAATCAATCAATCAAACCCAACAGAAATACTCTGGAGCCGCAACTGCCGACCCGTATTGCGCATGCGCAGATCTAAGATCCAGTAGAAATGATTAAAAAAAAGTAAACGTCTGCTGCTTATTCTTCTACTAGGCCAAAATAGAGTCAAAGAGTATATGAGAGTGAGAGTGTGTTAATTAATATGTTTGGCAGTTTGGAGTAAGTCTGTAGATTTATTTGTGTCTGTGTGTTTCATGATATCTCTCATGATAATTAATTTTGTTGGATACATTTTCCCGGAAATGATTGTGATAAACAAACATGTGTTTGACTTTCATTACTGAATGAAACTTTTTGCCCTTTATAGTCTGTGTCCAATATTGTGTATTTGTATATATTGTATATATCCTATATAAGGTCCCGCTGCTGACACGATAGCAGTCATTTTGTGCGCATATGTGTAATTGTCACTCCAGCCAGGTACCCAAAGTTGGCAACCCTGCACTAACATTGGTTTGTGTTTAGTGAGTGTTCCATGGATGCATACATTTTATATTGGCTGTCATAACAGATACTGGCTTTATGAATAGCCCTGGCCTGTTCACATTGAGCAGTAGTACCTTTTTAAGGAAATTGTATTGCAATTGTTCCCTCCTCCTCAGTGTCGATGCTTCCTTTGAACATAACCTAAATGTGTCTGCTTACTCCCTCCCTCCACTCCTATTATCTCCTCATATCACTTTGCTCCTCCCTTCATATATCCCCCTCTGCCTTTCTCCCTCATTCTGTCTTCTCTTAACCTCCAATCCCCTCTCTCAATCTGTCGTTCCCACTCTGTTTTTCCTCTCAACTTTAATACCCAATCTGCTCTACACAACTCCATTCGGCTCCCCGATCAACTCCATGCCTCGGTTTTCTGCTTCTTAGTTTCTGGCAGGAGGCCAGCACCAGATCACATCCCCACCATTTCTATCTCTTCTCCTGTCACCACCTGAACTCTATTCCCTCTTCCTTCCTTTTCTTTATACCCACACATTAAGCAGAAATAATAAAAATGGATGAGGGATATTGAATATTAAAACTTATCTTTCCTAACAAAGGAAGAAAAAGGGAATGACTGCTCTAATATTACCACAGCACCATGAGAGAATGAATAAGAAATGAAAAAATGATGAACAGTCATCCCATGAGCTATCAGCAGATGCAGAAAATGTAACACCTGGGGTCTCGTTTAAAAGAAAGCCGCAAATATTAAAATGTGATTTATGATTCACTATTTGAGCGCTATACCAGCAGTGAACATGATTATACCTGGAAATCAACACAGCATACTAGAAAAAACAATGTTGAACACATGCTGATGAGGCACTGTTTTGATTGGGAATTAATTATTTCAGTCACCTTCGCCTAAAAGTTTGCTTCCAAGGGTATGAATAAACTAAGGCATTTATGCTGACAAGATCCAATCATAATCACTGGGATACTGTATTAAAATATTCAGACATGCTACATGACATCAATATGAACTTAAAGCAATGAGAAGATACATTAGTTTCAGTAATATGTTTTTTTGCTCAATAATATGTAAATCTATGCAGCAAGGTGCCGCAAATGTAATCAGACCATCTTTTCTACAGGGGAAACTCTTCTTGTAGGTATTGAATTCCTGTCATGTACTGTTCTCGGGTTAGCATTTACGAGAAAAAAGGTCTCAGCACAGACAGATGTCAGCATGAGCGTATTTAACAGAAATGCAAAACACAACACAAGAACGTTTGCCACAGGCTGTTCATATTGTGAATTATGGAATGCTGAATATTTTTGTTCAACTGCTTACTAACACAAAGCCTTGAAAGGACGAGAAAAATAAATATCTTCATTTTAATTGGTTAGGAGATTAACCACAAGGCCATAGAGCTCATGCCTGATTGGACAAATAAGAGAGGCATGTAGCCTTGAGTGATAAGATACAAATCAAGCATAAAGTTCACACAGTCGTACAGGAAAGATGTCCATGTGAACACATTGGTTTGTAAAAATAAATGATGCTCAAGTTACCTCAAGCAACTGACCTACTCAATGTTTGAGTGACTTATTCAGTATTTAATCAGTGTGCCATTTTCACGTGCCTAACTTTTTTATGGGTAACTGGAGGATTTATTTCTAAACTGTGAATTGCTTCTACCACTTGCAATACAACAGCCATATACTGGTACACAGAATGTGAAGTTTCTCCCCTTATGGTATGGTCTCAGTGGAAGGATCCTAGGATAGGTCTAAACCCAGGATGTTTAACTGAACCTTATTTGCAAGTGTTTATCGTTCCCTCTTCATACAACCTCGGGGGAGT